AAGTAACTGTGTCAACCTCGTTTGTAGTCCAATAATTATTCCCTGCACACTATGTTTACGGTAATTAATAATCGCATTCTTGACATTTCTTTGATAATTGTTTATTAAAATTTAATACATATTTTTTTTATGAATTACAAACAAATTACTTGCATTTATGACAATCGGCACTCCTTTTGGGAATTTGCGCTTTTATTTTTTGGTGAGTCAGAGGTTATAATAATAAACATTTTCTTTATAAATTGTACACAATTTTCACTAAATTGTTCAATTGTTTTGTAATTATAGTCTTTATAATCGCATAAATGTATTGTTTTATAAGTTATTTGCAATTTATTTAAAGAGTAATCAAAAGCATTCGTGTAATCAGTTTCACACAATTTAATTGAAGAATTAATTTCATATATTTTATTATCACCCGATTTACAGATTATACAAAATGACTTCATTTGCCATGATAGGAGAGCATATAAACTGTGCATGGTCACAATTTTATGATTAAATAATTGTATCACTGATTTCTGTATTGAATCGATGTTATTATCGTTAATATAATGGCCACAAAAATACACAAATCCGTCGTTTGTTAGGAAATAAGTTTGCGTTCCATTCGAACAAACCGTTTGAATGTTAAACAAATTGTCAATAATTTGTGGTTTGAATACATTATCCGTTATATTGTGTCCCAAATGGCAGGAATTTCGACCCCAACTGAAGACTCGGCCATCAGTTGTGACGGCAAACGATGATAACGGAGAACAATAAACGCCACGTATTTTATATTCAATCCCATTGTCTATGAATTGTATTTTCATTGGAGTTATTATTACATTCGAGTGCTGTTCCCCACAACCCATCTGCCCTTCACTATTATCCCCACATCCGTAGACACACTCATCACCGGTGACCACAAGTGTGTGATAATAACCACAATTAATATCACAGATAACAGGATTATTAGGCAATGAAATGACGACTGGTTTCAAGTAATTTTCAATCGGTGATCGGGCTAATTGTGCCATACTATTACGCCCCCAACCGTGTATACAGTTGTTTTTATTAATGGATAAAACAAAATCATAACCGCAAATAAATTTTTGTACATTTTGTTGACATAATTCTTGGATAACATGTGGTGTATTAATATCCCTATTGTGTCCCAAACCAAGTGAACCCCATTTATTAGATCCCATGCCGTAAACCATATCATCGTTTGTCACAAACAATACATTAAACCCATTTTTGTCATCGAAAACGTGAAATAGTTTCATACAATTAATGTTTACTTTATTATCGATAGACTTATATTTGGGGTCAATTGCTATACTATTGCCACCAATCGATGCAATCTCTATATCATTGTTTTTGTCAGTGATTTCTGATTCAGACATTTGATTCATTTGTACACAATTGATGGGAAAGAGTCCCACTTCGCCGCCACACCGGCCCCGACACCAGCCCTCGTCGATCATCTCTATATCAGTGATCAACTCTTCGGGATTGAAACTAATCTCATCTAAATCGGCCGCTTTGTAAGCATACAGAGCCGTAGCGGTCAGTCCTGTCGGCGAACCGCTATTATCACTCGTCGCCGCAGTTTTCCATAAATCCGGTCGTTGTGTCTCTGCGTCGGACTCGGGATTAACCGCCGCTTTAGTCACCACTTGTTGTCCCTTTTGAAAAGTCATTATCTTTTGTTGCCTCTCTTTCTCGGCCGCAGTCGTAGCCTTCATCTCGTGTTTCTCGCGCTCCAGCCGTCTGTCCCTCTCCTCTTCAGCTTTGCGTTTAACAACCATTTCCTCGTTTTGGGCCATACTTTCAAATTTTGCCCTCAATTTACTGGCATTTCCTATAGAAACGGTCGGTTTGTCTCCACCGGCGGCCGAACTACTCATCACTCGTGTCGACAATTGATCCGTTCTATCGCTTTCAATATCACGTGATTTATGACCTAAAGTAACACCAATTGAAACATTGCTTTGGTTTCTCTCTTCTCGTTTGTGTCTATATTGAGATTTGTTTCCTTTCTCTCCGACACTCCCTTTCCCTTCCGTTCCCTCATTTCGGGGCAAAATCTCAAACTTCGTATTGAAAACACTACTTCTTTTAGTGATTACAGGTTTGTTCACAACATTAGTCTTTTTATTGACATTTAAACCATCACGTGATTTGTTATTTAAATTATTATCTGTGGAAACGTCGGTATTATTTATTTTATAATTGAAAAACTCATTGAAAAATGTGTTTTCATAAGATTGAAGTGATTTTTGTATTTCGTTGAATGCTTTATCATTTGCTGTAATCATGTGTCTATTGACTGACCACTCATTATAGTTGTCGAGTACTCGACCACTGGTCGGCCGATTGTCTGCCATTGATTGAAACATTTGTCCAATTATTGCAAACAATTTATTGAAATTTACTGAAAATGCGGTTGATTTGTATTTTTCCATTGGATTTTCACTAATAAAATATTTGAAAATATATTTAAAATTATAATAAAATGATTGCCATTGACTTACATATTGAATAAATCAAACAAATGAAATGCAATCACTGCTAAACTATAGATGTCTACTTTGATTGTATATCGGGGTTGAAATATCTCGGGTGCCATATATTGTGCGGTTCCGACATTAGAGGTGTGGCTCATGGATGTCATGTCATGACTTGTAGCCAATCCTAAGTCACAAAGCTTTATAAACCGAGTGGTATTTTGTGAGATCAACACATTTGCCGGTTTGAGATCTCTATGAATAACCGGTGGACACAATTCGTGTAAATATTTTACACTTTCTAAGAGTTCTTTAATTATTTCACACGAAATAAAATATTCAAATATTTTCATCGGTTCTCCCGATTGTCTCCCAAACACAATGTGCTTATTATCGATAATTGTCTGTAGATTTTGTTTATAATAATCCATTTGAATGAACAGATGATTGTCTTCACGCCATGAGTTGCGGTAATTCACCACAAAATCTGAACGCAATTTAACTAAATTTTGCACTTCTTTTAATATTTCCTGTCTTTTGTGATCGCTATAAATGTCTGCAAAATAAGCTTATAATTAATATTTATTAAATACAAATTATATAAATGAAAATTATATTAATTGTAAAATTACCAAGAAACTTAACAATCTTAACCGCGTACTCTTCTCCTTCAATCATATGTCTCACGTGATATACCTCTCCGAACCCACCCCTCCCTATATGTGACAACTTTAGAAAATTATCGTCAAAAAAGTTTGATTTCTGATTAGAAACTAAAAAAGTGTTTACAAACAAAATAAATGTTAAAATAATAGTTCAAATATATTGTAATGTCATTTATTACCTGTTGATTGGTTTGCAGCCATTTTTTACTGATAATATTTTTATCAATTTTAATTTAAAGTGTGGTAATAATTATACTTTTAAACCTTGCAGATTTTAAATATAAAATATAATAATTATACATTTGCTTTATAATTATTTTTTATAAAATATATTTAAATTTTTAATTAATTTGTTTAAATAATTAGATATCTTTTACCTTATTGTTTGTCAACCATAATATTGTTATCAGTATGTTAAATTGTAATATAAGGTGTGATCATAATTATAGAGTTTGTAGAACCTTTTAAACTTTAAGTATTATCATTATACAATTGCAGTATTATTTATTATAAAATATATTAGCATTTTAAATTAAATCTTACACATATTTTTAACGGAGAAATATTTTATAAAACACAAATAATTGTATCGTTAAAACGACTACACATTTTGGTTAAAACTTGCAATAATTAGTTAAAGCAATGGAAACACATTTAATTGAGAATAAAACGATAATAACTGTAGTATTATTATCTCATAAATTACTTATAATTGAAACAAACACTCACTAAATGTGTGATAAAACTCACTACTAAAATGTCAAATGGTATACATTTAAAAAACCTTTACTTATTAATAATAATAAGTTATTATAGATATAAACCATTGATTATTAATAGCATTGGGCACCGCACCGACCATAGCGTTAGATGTCGCTGTAAATACATTTATTCCTATATTAACACCCCATAGAAGGTAGCGCTTTAGGGATCGTGGTCGTCACTTGCCCATCGCTAATTATTAATCATGAGATGCCATGAGTTCTCTGAAGGCGGCGACAATCTTAGTGTTGGACAAAAACAGTTAATTTGTTTGGCCAGTGCTCTGTTGAAAAGGACTAAGATCTTGGTGTTGGATAGCGTTGCCAGATATACAGGATTTAAGGAATATTGCAGAGTACAGGAAGGTGTTATTCCTGTACATTGAAAAATACAGGAATAAATATTTTAGCAATAAACAATTAAAACATCAAAATATTCGGATTTGTTAATAATAATAATAATTTGTTATTAGTTCTGTACACCCACTGTTCCTTCACAATTTAAACTAATGCTAGAAATTAAATGAATTTAAACTTAATTAATTCAATTATAAGGACATTGTATAAGCACTCCAATTTTTTGCAAAAGTATAATGCTTTGGAAATTGTATGGATTTAAATTTTGAAGTGTCATAAACAATGAAATACAGGAATTTTTGGTAAAATTTTTGTTATTATACAGGATATCCAAAATATTTTTTGGCAACCCTAGTGTTGGACGAGGCGATCGCTGGTATCAATTGTTTTAGTCATTGAATTAATGTCTAAATTAATGTATATTTAAGCGGTTGGTATAGAAACAGATGACTTAATCCAAGAGACGATTAGAGAGAAGTTTTGTTTGTCAACTATTGTTACGATCGCTCATCGATTGAATACAATCATAGATTACGACAAAGTGTTGGTAATGGATAAGGGAATGGTAGCCGAGTTTGATTTTACTGTTAATAAATTGTAGATTGTGTTATGTAAAAATGATTTTTAATGTGAACAATGTAAAATTCCAGTTAATTAAAAGAATTTATTTATTCAGTGTTCATAATAAACATAATATTTTAATGTCACATGTCTTTACTTTACATAAATTTGTGATTTCTAACTTATTTTAACAATGAAAATATTTTTAAACACATTTATAATTATCATTGTATCTAATTAATAAGGTACCTAATATTATTACTTTAAATATAAATGTTAAAGCAAATTCTATGTAATAATTTCATTCAAAAATGGCGTTCAATTCTAATCAGCACATGGAACAGAGTTCACAAGGTAGTAAATTTTACCATGGTTACGTCTTTTATATTTATCAATTTATTTGATTTCTGAAATATTATTATGTAATTTTAATTCACAGCTTCGAATAGCACTTCAAACAGAAATTATTTTATGAAAACATTTGAAAAGTTGAAATCTAAAGGAAAGGGCGCTTTCGGGGAAGTATATAAAGTGAGGCATATAATTGACCATGATGTGTACGCCGTTAAAATTATCAAGTTTGAAGGTAGTTATAAGGCTTTTTTCATTTCATATTCATATAAAACCAAACATTAATTATTTTACTTGTAACATTAGACCAGAGTTAACTGTACAAATTTCTTGCAAATAATATTATTTGTTTTTAGACACTTATATTAATCAAAAGAGACAAGAAATATTAAGCGAGGTGGAAAAATTAAGAAAATTGTGCTCACATTTTGTGGTGAATTATCGCAACTCGTGGTTAGAAGACAATCATCTGTTCATTCAAATGAATTATTACGAACAAAATCTACAGACGATTATTGATATCAAACCCAAAGTCTTCGGACGAAAACCGGAAGAAGTGTTGAATGTCTTTGAATATTATATTTCGTGCGAAATATTCAAAGAACTCTTAGAATGCGTTCAATATCTGCACGAATCGGAACCACAAGTCATTCATCGAGACCTCAAACCTTCAAATATATTGATTTCAAAAAATGCCGACAAAAATACAAATCGATTCATAAGATTAGGTGACTTCGGGTCCGCCACTTATCACGACATGACAATCGGATCAATGACTCACACCACTAATATAGGGACCGCACAATATATGGCACGCGAAATATTTCAACCCCGATATTCCACAAAAGTTGATATTTATAGTTTGGGAATTATTGGAAATCATTTGTTTAACTTATTCGATGTGTACGTCTAAATTGCATTGTATATACAGTATTGGCTCAAATGCAAATAAAGTGGTCTGTTGTAGTTCAAATCATTCTATATTAAAACGAGAATACTGAAAAAAGTGTACATGTAGTTCAAAATGCAACCGCTTTGGCTCTGTATTTGTATCCGCTATGTAGGGTTACCAACTGTCTTCTAAATAGAGGACAGTCCTCTATTTGTCTATATTTTGAATAATGTATCCTTATGATTTACTATGAAAACCAAGGTTAAAACTTTTGCTCTCTATTTGTCATAAATTTTTATTGTATGTTTTTCCTTTTGTTCTCTAAAATTTATTGTATGTCCTCGTTTTCCAAAATGGAAATTGGTCAGCCTACCGCTATGATTCACTATCCGCACAGATGATGTTTACAATAAACGGATTCCATCTATCTGAGCTTATGAACAATACACCTGAAAGCAATAGAAGCAGCCTTCAGCAATTATATGCAGTTTTACCGTGCGATAAGCTAGTAACGTTACATTTAGAAACATTAAAATGGTATAATCAATTTAATAAACATTCTTAGGCATAAGACACCCTGTTTCAGAAAGATTGGACGATTTAATAGTATTATCTCTATTATCTAGTGCCTAAGTATGTTAACCTAAATTATGATTTTACAATTCTAACTACACTAGAACTACAACAGGTCACTTAATTTTAATAAATATTTTATATAATTGATTTTAAACAATATATTTAATTAAACATTTTTCTCAGTGATGATCAAATGACTGAATATAATTCAACCGTATTTTCAACTAACTTCAAAAAATTGGTAGAAATTATTGAACAAATGTGTGAATCAAAGGCTGCCAAACGGCCATTCAGTGGCGAAGTAATCAACGACTATAACCAGTGGTCAATCGATAAACGTTTAGTTACTTCAGATAAACAAAAACTTTCCGAATTATTACAAAGACTTAAAAATATTGAAAACAAATTTTTTAGTGTATTTTTTAATTATAAATTGTTTAACTTAACTAACAATTTCAACCAGCACAATGATAACATGGTAAGTGATTAATTGATACTAATTTATCTAATATTGTATTTGTTATTATTGTTGTACATACATTGTTTCAAATTTAATATTTGATGTGTCTTGAAATCCCCGACCCCGGGGTTACCCTCACCGACCCCGTGACTCTCTTATACACCGGGGTGAATCTTCCCGCACTTCGGGAGATCCCGCATCCTGGGAAAATCTCCCCGATAATTGACTTTTTTACCGTCATGACGGTCAACCTGTTGGCCCGTCGATCCGTCGATAAATTTTAGATATATGTTTTATATATGGGCCGATTTGTGCTATAACATCTTGAGCACGTACACATAGTCTATGTGTTCAAGATGTTATAACACAATTCGGCCCATATGTAGTTAATGTAGAATTCATCGCTCAAATATGTTTCGAGTTATTCGACTTAGAATGTTGTTTATCAAAAATTTTAAGTGACTGAATTTAATGATATGATATACTGTATGATTTTAATGTAGAATCGGATGCCGATTTCAAACTTTTAATTTCTAATTTTTTACATAAAATAATTTTTAAGTTATGCAGATTTTAACATTTTAAAGTCGAATAGTTCGAAAATTATGAATTTAATTTTAAAATCGATTAGATAATATTAATAGGCATTAAAATCTACATATCGAAATCAAATATTATATTAATATATATTGCGTCACGTAAAATCTTTGATTAAAAATTTTGTAAATCGAATAACTTGAAAGATATTCGAGATAGAGAATTTTATATTTCAGATTCCAGAGTCACCCTGGGGTCGGGTAATTTAAGACACATTTTAATATTTTGTGTATAATTTTTAATAACTAATACATAGGATTCTAAAGATACATTGGGTACATCTAATATTACGATTAATAATATCAATATTAATAATAATGAAAACATGAGAATAGGAAATGCTGTCAATATGTCTTCAAATCATCAAATAAAACCCGTTTCCAGTAAACCTCCTAAAAGAATATATGGCACTGACACTATCAATAATAGCAAGTCATTATACAGCCCGTCAAAAGAAAAGCACAGCTCGGAAATGTGTGGCAATGAATTAGTTAAACATATTGGAAATCTAATCACAAATAAAGAGAGTTTGAATGCGAGGGTCGAGAATATGGCCCAAAATGAGGGAACGCAAAGGAAAGTAAGTGTCGGAGAGAAAGGAAACACACGTTCAGAGAGACAGACGACTGAAATAATATACAAAGCAAATGATATAGAGATCGCATCGATTGGTGGCAATAGTCTACCAATTGATCCCAAATATAAGTCTATTGATAATAAAGTAGACATTAATTGTATTCAATTATTTCACGTTTTTGATGACAGGAAAGGGTTTAATGCATTGTTTGTGACAAATGATGGTATGGTTTACGGCATGGGATCTAATTATGAAGGATCACTCGGTTTGGGACACAATAGAGTTGTCAAAACACCACATATTATACCAGAATTATGTCATAAAAATATACGACAATTTATTTATGGTTATGATTTTGTATTATCTATTAATGACAAGAACTGTATACACGGGTGGGGACGTAATAATAGGGCACAATTAGCCCGATCACCGGCTGATCATTACTTAAAACCAGTTGTCATTTCATTTCCTAATAATCCTGTTATACGTGATATAAGTTGTGGTGATTATCACATACTTGTGGTCACCGGTGATAACTGTGTCTACGGATGGGGGGATAATAGTGAGGGACAGTTGGGTTGTGTGCAGCAGAAGTCGATTCGAATAATAATTCCAATGAAAATACAATTTATAGACAATGGGATTGAATATAAAATACGTGGTATTTATTGTTCTTTTGATTCCTCGTTTGCCGTCACAACTGATGGCCGAGTCTTCAGTTGGGGTCGAA